TGTGTGTGCATACCTGCTGTATCCTCTCCTCATCATGTAGCAACAGCAATTTGCTGATGCTGTGCTGCTGCTCCAGCACTAGCGAGAAATGCTCAATGCGGCTCAGAGAAAGCTTTTCCTTCAGTGTCATCACAATGTCCTGACGTGCAAAGAAAATTACACCTTCAGAGATAATATTTTATAACATCAGGGAACACATTTGCTGAGGCGAGCCGAGTTAAGGTCTTAAGGTCTCAGAGTGGTAACAGAAAGTTTCAGAGTAGCTGTCAAATCCAGGAAACAAATGCATGCCTAATACTAATAACTGCTGAGGAAGTGAGTAAATCACTTGGCTGTATCTGGTAAATTCAATTCAACGTTATATATGGTTACAGTTTAATGTGGAGCTTGAAATTCAGGAAGAAACGCACTTTTACAGGGTGTAGTTTAAAACTTTGATTTAGTTTTTGTCTCAGGAGGAAATCTGAGATTTTTTTCTACTTCACGAGCCTCAGCTTCAACTCTGAAACTCTGCTAGAGCTGCTAGGTGTGTGTCATTATAATGCCACACTCCAGTATCGCTACAGAGTACCTTGACTGTGGTAGTGGGCTCAAATTTGAAGGCCTTGGTCTGCCCGTTCTCGAGGTACACCTTCAGTACATTGGGCAGGAAGAGCAGGGAGTTCCCCTGTGAAGAAAATAAAAGCAGTCTGAATTTAGTTGGTTTCAGGAGTAAAAGTCTGACAGGGAGCAGGGTGGCTCTTTCTGTGCGCAATAATGTGGGAAATCTTCAAGGTGTGTTGCAGTTTCCGGGTCTATGAGTCTGTTAGGGTCCACTTGGGAGCGAATGTCCGTGTGCCTGTTAATTTTTTATGACGGCACAGGGTTGTCCGCAGAGAGACTGTACTACAATGTACCAACGAGGCATGCTTCCTGCAGGCAGACTTCAGAGTATAACAGGATTGACTGCTGATCTGTGGCGCCTGCAGCTGTCTGAATCTGAAATTCCTGTCTTACCATCATTGAGCTGTAGTCTGGAAGTTTCTTCTCCATAAAAAAAAAACCTTCTTACACTCATGTGTTTAATTTTATGTTGCATTACTTTTGACCCTAGCTGCTGATCTGTCGATAATCATCTTTGGGTTCCAGTAGGTATATATTCATGGTGGGAAAGTTACATTAACCCTTTAAGACCTACCATAGAACCAAGTCCGCCAGAGCTTATATTATATTTTTACATGCTGTGGAGCCATTTTTGGGAGCATTTC